TGCATTCAACATACCATGTGACACAAAAATTGATGTTTAACTTTTTTTTTTTTTTTTTTTTTTAAGTTAAGAAATTGAGTAAAGTATAATACTAAAATCTGAATAATAATCTACAGTTTGATACCAAACTTATTGACATAAATTCATGAAATAGTAGTTCAATAAAATGTTGAATGCAAGTCAATAAAGCAATGACATGGCCTTTCACACATGATCCATATAGAAAGGGTTAACTGGAGCCAAGTGTTTTATTCCAAAACTTCATTTTGTGTCTTGTTCTATTATATTTATAATACAGCAAAAAAGTCAGGCTTTTATCCTATTTATCCACCAGATAATTTTGTAAACTTCGTTAAGATCACTTCCTACTATTTTTTTTTTTCTAAAAGAGAAAGAAATTGACACTTTAATATTTCCCAAAAGACAATCCCTTCATCCCTGGAATTATTCTAATAGCCTTCTTCAACTATTTCCAAATAAGTTAGTACCTTTCTTAGATAAGGAGACAAACTGTACATAGTATTCCAGGTGATGTATAGTAACCAGTGACTTGTATAGAGATAATTGCCTCCTTTGACTTTTAATCAATGTCTGTAAATATGCAGTATTATAAACACTTGTGCAAATTTGTTATGCACAGTGTTCTGTCAAGTACTTGTATTTCTTGGCTAAATATGTATGATAAAAACTATTTAACCTAAAACTGCAATTCTCACGTTTAGCATAAATATAAATAATCTTTCTCTTTTTTTTTAAGGAGGTAGGACATCTGCTCCAAAGCTTGATGCAAATCTCGTGGTAGGAAGTGAAGAAGAATCCAACTTTGACAATGCAAGCATTATCAGTAATGTTTCTGAATCTCGATTTGGTAGTGATGATGGAACTTGTAAGTTGATAATTTTAAGTGTCTGGTTATCTGTAATTTAGTGTACAACAAGTGACGGTTTCTGCTTGGTAGATATGAATTTATTGGTTGCTGGATTAGTTGTGTTTACATGAATTTAAAATTTTACACCTTTTTTTTTGATAACACTTGTATGATATGTATAAAATGTAGTAAAAAACATTATATATATCAAGACAGCCTGCCAAACCTGCTTACTTTTTATTGGATTAAAATTGTAATTCCTAAATTTAAAGTTGTTGATTTTAAAATGGAAGATCACACTTTCTAAATTTAATCTGTAGTGGAATACAAATTAACATTAATATCACAATTTCTAAATGCTCAATATTAAATAATATTCTGAAATAGCTTCATTTCTTAATTTAAAGTACTACTTAAAAGTTTATATAATTCATCTCGCAATAAATTTACCATTTTAGAGGTAATGATGTATCATATAGATTGCATAATTCTCAATTTTACAAATGTAAGGTCAACCAAGACTAGTTTTTCTTTGTTACATTGTACAAATATTAGAGGATACAAGATAACTTTCAGATGTAGTTGTTCTGACAGGCAAGGCACAGATTGACAGATAATTTACATATAAAATACTAACACACTAAACACTTATTTCAGGAACTACATGTTATTCTTTTAAACGTTTTTTGTTGATAGAGTAGTTTTAATGTCATACAAAAAGTTTCTGCTGTGGTAATGAAATCACTTGAAATCTCTTTCTGTTTTACAGGGTTGTGATGTTTGGGCTTATTTCAGTAAATAGCTTATCAAAAGCAAACCAACAGAAGTCACATACCACTAACACACACACACACTTCTCATGAAGTAAGCCTATACTTTAATATTTCCTATTAAAACTCAAAGGCAAGAAAACCCTCAATATAACCTTCAAGTTATAAACATAAAATCCAGTCATGCCAACCTCTACTTATGAGAAATTACTCTTGTGGTGTTTTTCATCTTCAAAATGTTTCAAATTAATGCTTTCTGTGAGTAAATACAGATTGTAACTGTGATAATGTTACTCATAAAAAGTAAATTGTTTCACTATAAACTCTTATGACCTATATATTTTTTAAATTGATATGTAAATTTGGCCACCACATCTTTTAGCAAGTATGAGGAATACTTATGGAAGATAACTTTAGCTCATCGTTGCCTATTTATATTTAGTTGAACTTGAACTAATATACATGGCAAGAAGGATAATGAAAGCTTTAAACAGTAGTAATGTTTGTAGTGTATTGATGATGCTCTTTTACATAAATGTCAAGGTATTCATATTCATTATTACACATGAACTCTTTCAGCACAGGCACGATCGTTAGGATTGACCTCGCAACCATTTTGTGCTTGTTATAGTATTCATGCTATAACTTTTTAAATTAGTAAGTGAATGTGAATGAAATTTGGTACATTATTAGTAAACATTACAATGCTTTCATACATAAAATATCAAGTCTTAAGGTTTGTAAAGCAATGTTTTTCGGATGACTTTTTTTCTTCTCACATGTTGCCTATCTAACATGCAAAGTAATTTTTCACTTTAAGATTAAAATTACTTTTATGCATTAGAAAATTTTCAAATTTCACATGCAAAATCTTTATAATGTCCAAATAGTTATCAAATGTTTCTTAAGAAAAAACTTTATCTGTTATTTTCAGTAATGAATCTCTGTATGGGTTCGGCAGATTGGACTGATCTCGTAACCACCATAAAACATTAAGAAAAAATATAAGTTATGCCTCTCATTCTAGAATGACAACAAATTATAACATGAAAACATAAATATTTAGACTACATAGCTTAAATGTCATAACATTATACATTTATATATATTTATTTTTATCATATTGACCTTTCACCTGTGCCCGGATAACAATACAAAAGTTACAATGACGCGACACAAGTGGACTTATGTTACCATATCAAATAAC